TTGTGTTTGTATTAATAAAATTAAATGCCATCTCCGTGACTGACGTGTTGGGCCATCCTATATCCTGATGCGGAGCTGTGATGGACCATAATTTTATCCAACGAATGGCCCATGGCGACAGGTTAAGCATCGCATCATCGGTTCCTTGGAGCCAGTTGATAGTGCGCTCGTATGTGGGTAATTATTCACGATTATCACTTATCAACACTGGAGCATTACGTTACTACCCATATGGTGATCGGATAAAGTTCTTTCTCCTCTTAGTTGCCCTCCACATTCTGTAATCAAATGTTCGGTAGTGTTTGAAGTAAAAATTAGTATAAAACCATTATGTGTTCATAAATTATGCGCAACCATAGTTATTTGCGGTGATGTAATTTTAGTTAAGGCACGATAATTTATTACCATGAAATGCGGTACTTTAGTTCTAAGTTATTATTGCTATTAAAAGTTATATATTCGCTTTTATACAGGGTGACTGATAATTCGTGTTACACCCGGAATGAGGTGAAAGTAGACCATATTTGCAGCAAAAAATGTAGGTCGAAAAATCATTCCTTACCGAGTTATTGGGGCCTATTACGGATGTCACTTCACGGTGAAAACTTGTCACTTGTCGTCACGGTGAAGTGATTCCCATTTGATTTGTACGGCGATCACGGTTCTTATTATGAGTTTCACTTCCTTATCACCGTGTAGTGACACCTGTAATAAGGCCCATTGATCTAATTATTTTACATTGCCGAGCAACACTACCACTTTTTGCTCTGGCACTCGCGAATATTACCAAAGCCCACCAGGGAGTAAGCATTGCTTGGCTACTATGATCAATCTTTGTTTACAAACCACTCTATTCGATTGGCACCACAGGCTTACTTTCGGATGAATTTGATCACGTTCTAAGGCCGTTCGCAATGCTGTTGTATTTTATAAGGACTGTTTCAATTTGAAACTAGAACAGAAACGCACCTCTCGCAGTGCTGAGTTGCAGTTTCATTATTCGAGCACTATTTTGCACCAGATTTGCAACTGCTCGACTATTCTGTTTTATTTCTGAGCGAGTTTGAAACACGAATGGAACTCTGTTTCAAATTTCTTTGGATGTGTTAGAGATGTTTCGAGAGCTTCACAAATAAAAACGGAGAATTTCATAGAGAACAGTAAAGTTTATGGAACTTGATGATTGCAAACATCTTTTAGAACTGTGCGTTGCGCTGATCGTGTTGCAGTTTTATTTTTGACAGTTTCAAATTATAGAATTGACGAGTAGTTTAAAACAATTTTGAAACTCAGCATTGCGAACGGCCTAACCGTTTAATGTTACAACAACATTTTTGATTCCTTATGAATACCCGAGCGAAATGAGGCACTTTGAATCAGTAGAAAATTAATTGCTCAATAACTCTGTAAGGAATGATTTTTCGACTAACTTTGTCATTGAATTTTTTGCAGCAAATGTGGTCTACTTTCACCTCCTTTCGGGTGTAACACGAACCAAAAATCATCCTGTATATGTTCTGAGCCTCCTTTAGCTCAGTCGGTAAAGACACAACTATAAAGCAAGACCATGCTGGAGGCAGCTGGGTTCAATTCCCGGTCCGGTTTAAGATTTTTTCGGGCTGAAAAATGCTTCGACTTTTCTGTGCATAATAATATAATATACTAATGCAGAAATGGTACAGGATTAGAAAGTTTTACACAGAAAAAAATTCTGAATTTTTAACTATCGCGTAAAATCTCCCCTCGTTTAATTTTGAGCTACAGTTGGCACAAACAACGAAATCGTTTACAAGGTTGCATACAATATTGCTAATTTATGCGTTATTGTGCTTGAACTTACACGAAATATCGTGTAAATGTATGCCAAATATATCGTTAATTTTATGTGCGCTATATCTCACAGAAATTTACATGAATTTTTCAAACGGTGTACAAGAAGACTATGTTTTGAATCGGCGTAGAGTCCTAGTACTCAGCAAAAAATAAATTTTAATATTACATCCAAGAGGATGCACTCCAATCATGTCGAAAATCTCATGTAATTTTTATGGCCACAAAAATATACAAATGCAGTCAAAGCAGCGTAATGTCAGTTCATCCACTGTATTAATGATAATGTTGTCCTTTTTAGCAAGTAATACTACACCATATTTTTGACACGATTGAAGTGAATCCACTTTGATTTGATATCAAAATTAATTTTTTGCTGTGTAGGGACATAATAAACCCAAAAAAAAAATGAAGATATGTTCTGATTTGTACAGCGATAAGTAAGGGAGATTTCATAGTATTTTATTTTAGTTTGTTTAACTACACAGCAAAAAATTTAATTTTGATATCAAATCAAAGTGGATGCCCTGGAGTCCGCTTGGTGACGGTTTCGCGGTCGGTTGTTGTTTTACGTGAATCCGATGTTGTTGATCTCATTTTGAGTGTTAATGTCGGAATTAAATAGTTAAATTGGCGATAAGTGATAGTTTTCCACCTAGGAAGGCACAGGACGCTGAAGTTTTTGAGAAAATCAGTGCTTTCCGATCATAGTTCGTGTACTTTTCTTCAGTTCGATTTACGATCCACGATGTTTTTTTTTTTCGTTTGGTTGCGCAGTGCCTTCATCGGATCGCGTGTGGTAATGTGTGTGAGCGTCGATGTCGCAAATTCAGACATTATTGAATGATCAGAGTTTTTTTTTGAGGACTGAAGGCAAGCATCAGACGATTTTGTGCTATCTGCGTGGTTCGATTTTTTTCTCCCGGTCCAGAAATTTGTGGCATCGCGAGTGAAATTTTTTAATTTCAGTTTATTTACGCGGTGATGACAACGGCGCTGATCTATTGTTAGGGTTTTGCAATGTGCATTGCTTTTGTGCACGGAGTGACTTGAAAAAAAAGCGAAGAAAAGTGATAGGTTGTTGTGTGGTTGGAGTCGCTGGAGAAGGAATTGTTTAGGGATGACTAAAGAAAAATATGCGTGGAAGCATCGGGAATGCGCTCCCGGGTGAAGTGATTTGGTGAGTACGTTCCAGTTGAAGATTGTTGACAAGTGTATTTGTGGTGATGCAAATTATGGTTTAGATGACGCATGGCTTCAAACATTTTGTGTATCCAAATAAAACATATTACATACTAAATACGCACAGGGCATCGTCTGCTGACCATTGCCGCGGGTATATTGTGGGAGTCCCAGGTACCCGGTTCAGCTTTAGTTGGCGGCGGTGGCTCTTCTTAACCTTCTACCCCCTGAGTAGTTAGTGCGAATAAGGGCGTCTATGTGATGTTTTGCTGTACCTGTTGTGGACATCTAGTGCATCCTGTTCCCTTAACTTGTTGAGGACACCCTGTCTTGCCTCAAAAGTTACTCTTTTTGAAGTACTAGTTTTCACAACATAAAGGGCACCATAAAGGGCATGAGATTTGATCAAATTATTCGCAGTTCTACTTGTCCAACGCCCCCGGCTGGGTGAGGGATAGAAGATGAGACATACACACACACAAATCAAAGTGGATGCCCTTCAATCGTGTCAAAAATATGGCGTAATATTACTTGCCAAAAAGGACAAAGTTATCATTAACACAGTGCATGAACTGATATTACGCTGCTTTTACTGTAATTGTTTATTTTTGTGGCCATAAAAATTACATGAGATTTTTGACATGATTGAAGTACATCCTGTAATATTAAAATTTAATTTTTGCTGTGTATTAGTTTCTGATGGTTAATTTGTATTTCAGGTTAATCAGTAAATGCTGATTTTTTGAGAAATTTGTTTAAAAAAATCTAAATATAACCTCATGGATTGTATGATGAATGTGAAAAATATAACAACTTTATTTTCGAATTGATTATGTACTCTAGAACACTAAGCAATAAGCTTGAAATACGAAAAAGAAGAAGATGACATGGGGCCGGATCATGGTGATGGTAATGTGTGGATATACGACTCTCATGCATCTGTTCACCATGGAGGTGTTCAGTGTTTGCATTCCTGGGAACGATTTTTTGGAAAATGATTTTACCCGAGATTGACGACTCCCGGGAATAACATTTTTCTTTCCCAGGATCACGAATTTAACGTATTTGTATTTATTCAAAAATTGTAGTGTCCACGGTGAACATATCAATAAAGGTTCCAACTCATTGGCAATTCATTCAGCGTTATGCGGATTGTAAGATCAACGCTGTTTGAGACACACCTATTTGCAATTCCTTGGCCACCTTAATACGGCTGATTTTTGTCATGAGCAGCAAGCTCGATATAAAAATCCGACTTGATCCCTCGGCAACTTTGTACCTACACACCTTATAGGAGCAAAAAGGAATAATATTTGTGGTGTGACTTTTGCATCGACTGTATACGTACACGGGTTCCATTTGACATGATCCTATTCGTTGATCCATTTGCAGCCTCTCAATCACAATTGGTGCGGTTAAGTTGTAATGGCAGCCATGAGAGCAAAAAAAATAGTAAAGTATCTCAATAAGCTAAGCCAACGGCGGTGATGAAATAGACAATTGCTCTGATATGTACACATATGTGAAGTTGCTATTCCAGCGGAGTAATTTCTTCACAACTCGCGCGCTCCATCGATCCTGGTTCGACGAGTCATGTCCGCTCTCCCTATACATCAAAGCGGAGACACTCATCATCTCGAATCTACACGGGTGAGGTGACTTTGAACAGACAGGTCGTAATCCTCATCCCCATAAGATTATGTAGGGCGTTGGAGGAGGTTGGAGACGAAGTTGATCATGACAAATTAAATTTGATGCTATCGTGATAAAAAGCATTGCAAAGTGCGGGATGCAATAAAAACGTTGGTAAACAAAGGGAACCAATAAGAACGCCGGGCCGGGCACCTCCGCGGATTATCACGTATCGTAATGTTGTTCAACGTTGCTGTTTTGTAGGTAGGTAGGCAGGCAGGCATGAGCGTAAGTGCTGAGGAGTTGAATGTGTTCACACAGGATGAGAGGTGAAGAGGTGAGAGTGAGGCACTTACCTGAGTCGGTTGCATCCAACGATGATCGATTGCGATTCCTGATACGTGCCTGAGCTTTGCCTTCGGGATGTAATTTATCTCTGGTGGGTGGCGATTTCGATGAAACGGGTTGATCGCTGTACACTGTTGTTGGGTTCGACCGGTAATTGGTTGTATGATTGCCAGTGCAGGGATAGTGTGCGGTTTCGAGGGTGTCGCATAACATTCAGTGCAGATCGATAAGGTGATCGGTGTACGGTGTTTGGTGAAATTGTGTGTTTCATGAAAGTAGAGGATATAAGGAACGGAAATGAGATTAGACCGACGGTGAAGGATTTTTTGTTGTAATTGAGTGCATTTTGACGTAGGACTACGTCTTTGCTTTCTATATGCGAGTACACTTTGCGAGTACGAAAAATGAATATATAATGAAAAGGGTCAGGTTTTGAACGCATATTTCTCCAAAGCATTAATGTGAAATATGTTATGCAATATGCCATTCAACGGAGGCTTCAATCAGCAATTTTGTGACATATAGTAAAAATAATGCAAATAGTTAAACAGCTAAAAAATTTAACTAGAATTGGAAGCATTAAAATTTCCCATACATATGCTTAGACCACAAGGTGTCTTTCCTAACACAGCCATCACATAGTTGATGCCTAACGAAACAAGCCGAAGCCGGATTTTTTTTGGTACTTCGGACGTCTTCATATCGATCGCCCAACACACGACATACAGACCGGTGAAAAGGCTTCCCGCAAGCAGCTAGCTACCAAGGCTGCCTGCAAGAGCGCTCTAGCCAGAGAAGTAGTGAAGAAGTCACAACGCCACTGTTCGAGTTCAGTTGCTCATCATGAGAAACACCACTGTGAGCCATCTTCATCAAGCGTATCCGTGGCGAAAGTGCTTACGGATCTCAGAACTCCCCAACCACGACAAAGATCGAACATCCCGGTACCGTGCATCAAATCCGCCGCTGCCAGAAGAATACCAACCTGTGATATGTGGCGTCACGATATAGTGCGTGTTGTTCATCGTAAAGTGAAGATCTGTCTAATATCAAGGCTACACTTTTGCTTAGGGCCAACAGCCCGGTAAAACATGTTGATTATTACATCCAAACTGCTGCAACCAGCTCATTCCATCGATTGCACGATGTACACAGAAATCGCGAACAAATTTACATCCATGGATGTAATTTTGTACCTGTTTTAGGCTATTACATCAATATTTCATACATCAGCTTGCATTACGCTGATCGATATTACATTTTTTTTTTTATGTGCAATCTCTAAACAGCCATGAACAATTAACCTCTAAATAGCCATTGATTTATTTCGTGGAAAACGGAAGAAGGAAATATTAAGAAAACCACTCCTTGATTCATTGTTGCAAAGATGATCTTGCACTTCATTTTGAACTTTTCCGCTTGAATCAAAACAAAACCAGACTGCACTAAGGAAGAGCTTTTGGCATGGACATTTTTCACGGATGCCAATAAGAACATTTATTCTCCATGGTTGCCAAATAAACTATTTGTTCCTTCGCTTATCTATGGAATCTATAGTATCTATTCTTGAGACTACAAGATCAGATAAGTCATATATGCACTGAAAACGAACCTAACTCAGAGAGTGACTCACGTTTACTCAGTTGTTAGCAATGTTGGAAAGTTCAATTTCAAAAAAAGTTCTTTCAGAGAATCATTTTGCTGAAGAATGAGCTATGAAAAAATCGCGATCGAAATGGGAATAAAAGATCCGAGATGTGCGAAACACTGCAGCAAATGGTTCCGAAAGAAAACTCTGCTTTGACCGAAGACGAACCAGCCCAGGGTCTCCTTAATAAAGATGTAATAAAAACTGAGTCTCTTGTCTCCTACATACATTCCGTCGGGGAATAATATGGAATCACCACGCTGAAATTCTGCCACTCTGCTGATGTTTTCTTTTTCTAAATAAGATGTTATGCATGATGATATTTAAGTTGCATACATGTAGGAGTAACCCGTGCATTAAATTTTTGAAAGTTTACATTTAGGATGCAACATTTATAAGGTTTTTACTTTCTGTAACTCTTATTTTACCTCCCTTAGCTCAGTCGGTAAAGACGCAGCTACAAAGCAAGACCATGCTGGAGGTGGCTGGGTTCGATTCCCGGTTCGGTCTAGGAATTTTTCGGGTTGGAAAATTTCTCGACTTCCCTGGGCATAGAAGTATGATTGGACTTGCCACACAATCATATCAATGCAAAAATGGTACAGGCATCGAAAGCTCTCAATTAATAACTGCGGAAGTGCATCTTAGAACACTAAGTTGAGAGCACGCAATAAGCTAATATGCGATGTACAATAAGTTTGAAATGCGAAGAAGAAGAAGAAGAACTCTTATTTTACGTTACTCATAACAGCAATTCCAACTTCTACAGTTGCTTAGGAGTTACGAATAAAGTAGTTCATGAGTCACACTTTGCTATTTATTTTATCACATATCGGGAACGGAAAGTTGTTGTTGAAAGTTAGAACAAAACATATCTCTTAACATACGCTCTCTCTCTCTCGTTGGTGAGTTAAAGCGGGAGTGATATTAGTTTCTCTCAATCTCAAGTAAAAAGTTTACTTGAGAAATAACGTTTTGCGAAATTTTCAAATCCCAACCCAATCCCACACCCAATCTGGGTAATCTCTACGCGCAATCATGGTATACTGATCTTAATGTGTAGACTCGGAACTGACAGCAGTTGAAGGAAATAGGCGAGAAATTGAAAGAATGAACTTTTGTATACTGTCAGTTTTGATCTAACAACTACTGACAACATGGCGCCACTTTACTAGAAGCGAAAAATTAAACGGAAGAATAATGTATGAACACATTCTATGTGACGTTTCATCGGTTTTTGTCTGTTTTTTGACAGTTGACTGTAACAGAAATAAAAGTAATAGACGAGTGCACGGATGGATTTGAGTTCACTCACTCGACAAAAAGTGACACAACAGCGGGGCCCTGTTTACTAAAAATGAACACATGAATAATACTAGCAACATTTGAAACGGGCCTATCAACTTTTTTACATAAAACATGTTAAGCCCTATTCGCGCGAACCGAATACGCCCACGCAAACTAACAATACCATTGGGTAGGAGAAATTCTCCACTTCCCGATAGTGCTCTTGGTTTGGGTGGGCGTACTTCGATTCTCGTGAAAAGGAACTAGCAATTTTTTTACAAAAATTGATAGGCCCTTTTCATATGTTACGCAAGCATTATTCTTGTGTTCATTTTCAGTAAACAGGGCCCCGCTGTTGTGTCATTTTTTTTTTCAGTAAATGAACAAAAGTTGCACTTGTCTATGTTGTTTCTAAATATGATTGCAAATTTGGAAGGATCGTTAAATTTTACATAAGTATTGATCAAAAGTGTCTGATTTGAGTAGTTCGAAACGATTTGGTGAGTAGTTGTTGAGAAATCTAGTTGAGAACTGCAAACCGTTGTAACGTCTCGCAACATAGTCGCTCACCAAATCATTTAGAGCAACTCAAATAATAAACTCTTGATCAATTTCTATAGGAGGCAATATCAAATCTTGAAGGTTACTTTTCATTTTTTTCTAGTTAAAATACAAAAACTGCCAATAAATTAGGTTTTTTCCTGGTAGAATGTATCTATGGAGTTTTTATTTTTTTCTTTCCAAAAATATTGTTTTGGAAGGGAAAACAGTAAAAAAATTTGGTACGGCAGTTCTGTAAAAAAATTTCCCAGCTCCGTCACCATTTTTTTTGTTTTTAAAAAAATGCTCGTTATTTCAATAAAATCAACATTTTCCAGTTTTCTGAATACAAATTATGTATTCCATTGGAAAATGTTCTCTACCAAGGGATGTTCTACGTAGATTTTTTTTTTAATTTTATTATGGTCACTTTAACACTATTGGGTCATTCGTGACTTGTCCGGGGGTGATATTTGAACTCATGACTTTGGCGTGAGAGGTATGGATGTAAACCACTACGCCGGGGTCGCCCCCAACTACGTAGATAGGCGTCCATACATTTTCAAATAAATTTGTATGGACCGTAGACCCGATCACGTACATAACCCCTAATTTGTCCACATAGCTTATTATCAGTTTTCAAGTGCAAGCGTGATTGAAAGCGACGGTAAAGAATTGGTATCAGCAAGTGAGACGCTTTTGGTTCAGTAGTAGAATCAGTTGGATTACCAATTTAATTGTGCAAAGTAATTGAGACAATTCAGTGATTCACAATGTAGTAGGGTTGGGTGATCTTGGATTGATCTTTGAATAATGAATGATCGATCATTTTCTATCCGATATTTGATTTTATGGATCGATTCGTTGTTGTTTTTTTTTCTCTATTTAGGAGATTTTCAGCTGCAGGCTGGTTCATCTCCGGAAATGATTCGTTGTTTATTCTTTCTGATCATGTTCAATTTCTTCATTGGAACCTAGAACAAACTATTGCGTTAAGAATTCTAAGAGCTTAATTGCGGTGATCGATTCTCGTCATCGATTTTCTCTTCAAATTAGTTAATTCCATAAATCATGATCCAGCTGAGTTATAACAAATCAGAATGTCTATGAAGAAATCATTGCAGTTAGGTTCATATGATTCTGAACGCAACAACTATTTCCTCTCACCCCGTGGTGTATTTCGAGTAAAATTTGACGAATATAACTCAGTCCCAATGTTACACAAGATAGGCTTAACAATAAATTTAATTTGTAATTGATTTCATTGTGTTGTTCTTCAGAATCACGTCAAACTCACTGTTTCCGATAAAATGAAATAAAAAACGAATATGGCAGAGAATTAGTCGAAATCGTCCATTTCCGTTCTACAGACCAGAAAACATCAATGCTATCAATGATTTCACCGTGCACAAATCAATATTACGTTTGTGTCGATATAATATCTTCTTCTTCTTCTTCTTCTTCTTCTTCTTCATCTTTTCCTTTATTTAACGTCGGTCTCTATTCCCACTCTAGTGCCAATCACCGACGGACATCGATTGCCATCCATTGACGGCAACCGAATGTGCAGGAAGGTAGCTTCCACACCTGCGTAGGATATCGCACCCATTCACAACACACATGGGCCGGGACCAACGGCTTTACTTTCCTTCCGAA